ATCCTCTGCAATTCTACACATACGAAAACCATGGTTCAACAATGAGTGCAAACAGGCTAGGAAGGCACGGCAGAAAACTGAGAATTATTTCCGTCGCCATCCTATGGACCATAATTTGAATACATTTAAAATTTTAAATGCTAAGGCACGGCGCAAAATAAGCGTCAATCCTGGCGAAATTATGTATCAAGAATAAATTCACGAACGCCGATATCAAAAGTATGGAATATGATCTAGAAAATAAAAGGTAAGGGTTGCATTAAGCATCTTAAAGATGGAGACGAATTATTAATTAGTAAATATGATATTGCAAATAAACTTGGAGAAACTGTGGCCAAACACTCTTCCTCATCGAATTATTTACCTCAATTCCAAAATTTGAAGAAAAAAAAACAGGAAAAGAAAACTATTAATTTCAATTCAGATAATGGGGAAGATTACAATGAACTATTTTCTCTTCATGAGCTTCATACTGCTCTTGACCAGGCTCACGATACTGCTACAGGGGCTGATAACATACATTATCAGCTTCTGAAGCACTTACCAGAATCATGATTAGAGACCCCCTTACACCTTTTGGATGATATTTGGACATCAGGTAACTTTCCTCACTCATGGCGTGACGCTATAGTCGTACCAATACCTAAACCTGGACGTGATCATACAGATCCGTCAAATTATAGACCTATTTCACTAACTAGCTGTGTTTGCAAAACCATTGAACGCATGATTAATAATTGACGTGTTTGGTATTTGGTAACAAATAACCTTATAACAGATATACAATGTGGTTTCCGTAAAAACAGAAGTACTGTCGATCAATTAGTGCGTTTGGATTCATTTGTTAAAAGCGCTCTAATTAATAAACAACACGCTGTGTCTTTTTTTCATCTTGAAAAGGCACATGACACTACATGGAAATATGGCATTTTAAAAGATTTACATGGCTTCGGATTGCGAGGCCGTTTGCCTCAATTTATAGCCAACTTTTTAAAGGACAGACAATTTCAAGTCCGCGTAGGTTCTACCCTGTCTGATCATTACAATCAGGTTCAGGGTGTCCCACAAGGCAGTAGTTTGCCTGTCACACTCTTTAGTATCAAGATAAATAGTTCATCAAAAGTTTAAAACGATTCAGTTGATGGATCGTTATTTGTGGATGATTTTAATGTTTCCTGTCGTGGTAAAAATATGCATACTATTGAACGGCAACTGAAATTATGTTTAAACAAAATATATAAATGGTGTCTTGAAAACGGCTTTAAATTTTCTAAGTCAAAAACAAATTTTATACACTTTTGTAGAAAATATAAGTAAAGATTCTAAGAGTGAAAAATAATTCTTAACTCTGGTTAATTCTAAGAATGAATCAATTTTTAATCTTAAATGTAAGATTTTTCTTAAGTCATATTAATAAAGTGATTTTACTCTTAGAATTACTCTTAACTTTACAAAATGTTAGGAGTCCTCAGCATGTACTCCTAGCAAGTTTAGAATTTTCTTACCTGAGAAAAGATGGCTGCTCAGCGTCACCACCTGAGAGTTTTTCGACCACGAAAAGATGTATTTAATGAATATAATGATACTGAATTGATATCTCGGTACCGCCTGGACAGTGGTGGCATGAGGTTTGTGACCGATTTGGTGAGAAATGAGCTAACGTCGCCAACCAAGCGGAATATGGCGATAGACGCTGATAGCAAAGTTGCAATTACCCTTCGGTACCTTGCCACAGGAAAAATGCAACTTTGCAACGGAGATGACTTTGGAATAAGTCAACCCTCAGTTAGCAATGTCATCACAGAGACTTTAAATGCTTTTGTAAACCACAACTTATTGGCCGTTTCATAAGAATGCCTATAAATCGTCAAGAAATACAACGCCATCAACGCCAGTTTCATGCCATTGGTGGATTCCCGGGTGTCGTAGGGGTTATAGACGGCACCCATGTGAAGATAATTGCACCAACCGAGCATGAGAATGAATATGTTAACAGGAAGAACTTCCATTCGTTGAATGTTCAGGTGGTTTTTGATTCCGACGACAGAATCTCCGACATAGTTGCGAAATGGCCGGGTGCTACACATGACGCACGTATCCTGAACGAAAGTGGTGTGAGATTATTGTTTGAAAATGGAATCATACCTAATGGTTGCCATTTGCTTGGAGACAGTGGTTACCCGTGTCGCAGGTGGCTTTTGACACCATTTATTCACCCACAGGCTGGACAACAGACAAGATACAACAGGTAAATATTATGAAAACTTGTAACATGAAGAATGAGAGTGACTTCCCTTGGCATACGGGATACCTAAATACATTGTATTATACTGGAACGTAACAAATCCTTATAAAAACAATGCAAGTATATATATAATTATCATGTATATAGTAAATAATATTATAATAATATAGTTAAACAATTTTAAGTCTGAGACTCCTAGACCTCTACATTACTGTGATGTTTATTTAAGTGTAGAATAATTCAAAACCCTTGAAAATATTTACTTTGTGAATGATTATCATTCATTAATTTTATTTTGATATATTAATGTAGGTATGTTTCTTATTTTGTTTATACCTTTAATATTTGACCTATTTGAATAATCATATTATTCAAAAATATACACACAAAATTTGTTTGACATCAAATATAGCCTCCCCGCAAATGTAGTTTTTTTACTATATTAACAACAAATGATATCACAGATTTTTCTACATTTCTATAAGTAATATGAAATATTGCAGTGCACACAAAGCAACTAGATGTGTAGTGGAACGCGGCATAGGACAGATGAAAAGATTTCACGTCTTCATGGTGAAATTCGTCTCAAACCCAAAAAGGCGGCAAAGGTTTGTAAATTCAATGTCTTACCTCCATTGTTATTGATGAAATTGTGATATTGTTAATCATATGAAATTATTTGAATCATCATTTATTATGGAAATGCTTTCATGTATTGTTACACAAAGGTGACTGTGAAATGTATGTAATGAGATTGAGTTATTTCCAAAACTACAGAATTAATTCTAATGGTAATTCAAAATAGAGAGGCATTTTTTTTATTCCTTACAATGTACCTCAGAATCTAAGACCCTATATCAAATGTAATATAACACATTAACAGGTTATAACAGTTTGTGATATGCTGCAAAACATCTGCAAAGACAGAAACATTGGCCTGCCTCCAGGGAATCCTCCACTACCAGGCAACAATGGCTTCAACTTGCCAATCGTCCAACCAGCTGGGAATGGTCTCCGGTACAGACAGCAGTTTGTAAACACTCACTTCTAAATTGAAAGGTATAATCTTATATGCAATGAGAAAGAAAGTATTTAACTTGAACAACCAATTTTATTGTGTTCAATTCAACAGACAACAGATAAATAAATACAAGTTAATGACAAAAGAAATTTTCAAAAAAGCATCAACAATATAATTTACTTTTAACCATTTATGAAAATCAAATAGTAGCAGTTCAGTAGTTGCTCCATATGTATTCAAAATTTAATTAAGATAGTGTAAATCTAAGAAGATGAAGTATGAAAATGGAGGCTTTAGTATTCCAAAAGGTAGAAAATATTATAAAATCCCCAAAACTTGCATGGATTACACGACTGCTGTGAGACAAATCTACATGTATAGAAAAGGCTTCACTATGTAATCCTGTGGATTGCGGATGGTTTTTATAACAAATATATCTTACCCACTGTTTGAAATAGATTATGGATGGATGTTGTGGAGTTATGGTCTGAATATGTAACAATTTGCTCAGAATGAGACTCATAGTACAGAGGTCATACATCAATCACTTTGGCACAACAACAATGTTTTGATTGAATATAATATAAGGAGAAATTTCACTTTTAAACATGTGGAAAACATAATTGCCTGCCCTAATTTACCTTGTACTACAGTGAAACCAGCCAACATCAGCACCTGTCTAATCAGGCACACTGTCAAAAATGGCATACAATTTTGATATTATGATCATTAAAACATTGTTACAACGCATATTAAGATCATGAAAACATTTTCTAAACTGGCATAGGTATGAGCAATGCAATCAAGGACCCATAATCCAAGTATCTCCAAAATAACTTGTAGTAAACAGTTTCACAAAACACTATGTTACAAATGGCTAATAAAAATGGGAAGAAATATTTGTTTGAGACTTCCAACAGAATAAATTGTAAAATATTAATTTGATGGCTAATCGATGTACTCAAAATGTTAATCTAAACTGGTTTCAATACAAGATAATTCAGAATATTTTGACAACTAATAATCACTTGCATAAGATTGGATACATTGATTCATCTGTGTGTTCATCTTGTAAATAGGTGCCTGAGATTGTTCTATATTTATTATGTGATTGTACCCAATCAAGCAAAGCATGGAAAGAGCACCTGGTTAGGAAAGTTTGGTGAAGGATACATTGATTTAACACCAGAAAATAGCCGTTTTTCATGTACAACATGAACAATATTATGAGTCTACACATAGCTATGTACTTGTAAACACCTGCTGGAAAATAATGGGTAATGTGAAAATGACTTATATCTTGCATGCTACCAGATGCAGTCAAACCTGCTCAAGCCATGTTTCATATGCAATATGAAACAATACTGTATATCTACGCATACCTATGTACATGTAAACATCTGGTGACAAATAATGGGTATTTTGAAAATGACGTAGGCCCTATGAAAAAATGTCATCCAAAACTTAATAATTGGTAATGCTTTTATTGTGAAAAGTCATGAACACATAATTGATAGAATTGATACAAATGTTAATGATATAAGCATGTAGGTAAGTACTCTTTTCATTATCGTTAGTCATAATGTATTTTTTGTTTACATTTTCTTACCATACTAAAAGCCAAAGGAAGTTTTCTTAAGCAATAATTAATATGTTTGAGTCCATTTATCTGATGGAAATTTCTACATATCATGCTTAAAGTTCATTTTTAATTTTTGTGATCTTCAGTGCAGCTGAGCTTCTAGGGCATCAAGCTCCAGCTGGCGCTTCCTGGCCTGATGGTCCCTATCCTGATCTGGGCAAGGCAGTGGTGGATTTTGTACAGGCTGGAAGTCCTGCATGTGCATACTGTATGTGGGCTGCGCCGTCTGCACTGTCTGCACTGGAGGCATTGCTGCAAACAGGCTCTCTTTATCCAGTGAACTGTATATATAAAGAGTAGAAATAATGAGTGCACATGTTATTATACTGTAAGATACAATGCTGTTGAATATTTTTTTATATTATTGTGATGTTTTTATTTGTATGTATCCATGTTGATTATGTAAACTGATTACGATATAAAATGTTTCAGGGTGTCAAATACTCGATATACTGAATATTGACTAATCATCAATACCTGTCCTCCACACACCAGCAACTGTTCATCCTGTGTGTGATACGTTCATCCCTGCTAATATCTATTTTCTAACAAGATACATGTAGATATTTCTTATAAAAACCCAAAAGGAGAACAACTTCACACATTTAGCATAAATGGTACTAATTATTTTAATAATGTTTGGTTATATAATTATGTATTTGCAATTTCAATTGCAATTTTACCTTGTCATATCAATGACTTGGAGAAAGGAGGTGTCAATGCCTTCCTCCAGTCCAGAAATGGAAACATTTGTTTCACCCAGGATGTCGTGGACTGTCTGAGCTACAGCTGAAAGTTTGGCAGTATTTCGACCACCCCCTGTAAATATATGATTAAAAATAACATATAATAATTAAAACATTAAAATATAAACATTTGACATCATTTTATCACTGACTAAATATTTCTGATTCCGTATCTGTACATCACACTTTTAAACTAATGATAGAGAAATGTTGTCATTCAAATAATATAATTAACTTATTATCCCTTTGCATTTTCATTGATTAGATATTATGTTATTATTTATATATTCTGCTTATTGTACAGATTATGTTTAAATTTTTTGTTGTTAGTCCTTTTTTGTTTGTTTTGAAAAGTTGCTTCATCGAATGGCATGTACATGTAAATGGCACAAAATATAATGATGCGATGAAAATCAATGAACATATTTCTGAGCGTTGCATTTTCCAATATTTATTCTGCATTTTATACATATGTTAACTGGAAACAATTAATTCCTGCAGAAGCAATCATAGGCCTTGGATCAAATAAAAAAATTATGTGTGTTATCCTCATCATCAACCCTGATAATACTGCTTGATCTAGTTATGAAATAGAAACATTTTTCATTTCATTTTCATCTATAAAAACATTGTCACATTGATATCGTCATTGTTTGTTAGGGTACAATTTAGTTTCAATGCTGGAATTTTACCGGAACCTGTTCCAGTGATTTGTCGATTATATGAAACAATTTGCTGGCGAGATTTTGATAGAATGTTGTACCACTTTTTTTCACATTCGTCAGGCGTTCTGACGACGTGAGGAAAGGCCACTGACAGTTGGGTGGCAATCGCCTGCCATGCAGATTTCTTTGTACTCACTGATACCTTTTGAGAGAATTTCCCTCTCAAAACACTCTTATGTTCTTCTATCAATTGTACAAGTAATAAATTTTCATCTGCTGACCAATTTGGTTTTCTCATATCTGAGGTCCCTTTCGTATGACATAACTTCAGTTTCAGTGACAGTACTCGTAGACATTTTGTTTACAATCTTGCCAAACAATATCGTCTGATTCAATCAGCGCATGCAACCACTTCTCACATAAAACAAACTAATTAGTATATAGTTCAATATTTATAGCCTATACAGTACACTTACCTCAAATATATTGACTTCCTTATTCGTAGATACAGTGGAATCAGCATCTTGTATCCAGGGTAAACAAACACGCCACATAAACGGAAGCGGAATTCCTACATTTTACTCCACTCCAACTGGGCCGTTTGTCGCTTTACGTGACGCCATTAGTTGGCTATAAATAATGCTAGGGGTTTCCCCAGGTCTGTGGGGATTCCGCGCTCTCTCACGGTATTACAGTTATCTGTTTGTAAGAAACATATATGAAAGTACGATGGAAATTGAAAGTGATAATACCATTGAAAATGTACTTTATATTATATATTCCATGTACTTTATATGTTGAGTTGTGTTTTTTCTATTTCCATATCCATTTTATATTTATGATATATGAAAGATTCGGACATATAATGTGAGTGTACACTGAGAAAAAAGTGTAAAGTTACCTCATTTCACCCGACAGGTGATTGTGAGATCACATGACTATCACGTGATAAAACAAGAGTTCTATTGTTACTATAAATAGTTATTCAGTCCTTTGTTACAACACTTAAGAATTTTCTAAGAGTTGTCTGTCAGACTTAGACTTAGCTAAAAGTTACTCTAAGCTGTTTTTTGATACACTCCTAAGAAGAACGTTTTTTATCTAAGTGTGATTTTTAGGATTCCTTAGATTGTTTCTAAGAAAATTCTTAGAATCTTTATTAATACGGCCCCAGGTGTGCTGCAAGCCGCTGTACGATACTCAATGGTGTGTGGGGATGATGAATGAAACATTATACCAAAAACATGGATTACGAAACTAAATGTCCTCTCGACACTTGTTATAATCGACATCCATCCAAATCTATAGAATATTGGCAACGTTTCCCTGTAAGACTATAGACAAGACATCACTCAAGCGGATCCCTTTTGTAATTTCTATGGGCATATGTTGCATTGTAAGCGAAGTTAAAAACATTAAACGCTTACGTTTAGGCTCCCATTTGTTTAAATGTAATGGAAAACAGCAAGTCAACAGACTAATGTCAACAGAATCGGAATACCAGTTTCAGTCTTTGCTCATAGAACAATGGACTCCAGGAAGGGTATAGTCAGAGATCGTATGTTGGTTAATATGACAGAACTAGATATAATATCTCACAGGACACTGGACTCCAGGAATGGCATAGTCAGAGATCGTATGTTGGTTAATATGACAGAACTAGATATAATATCTCACAGGACACTGGACTCCAGGAATGGCATAGTCAGAGATCGTATGTTGGTTAATATGACAGAACTAGATAATAAATTATAATATCTCACAGAACACTGGACACCAGGAAGGGCATAGTCAGAGATCGTATGTTGGTTAATATGACAGAACTAGATAATAAATTATAATATCTCACAGAAAACTGGACACCAGGAAGGGCATAGCCAGTGATCGTATGTTGGTTAATATGACAGAACTAGATAATAAATTATAATATCTCACAGGACACTGGACACCAAGAAGGGCATAGTCAGTGATCGTATGTTGGTTAATATGACAGAACTAGATAATAAATTATAATATCTCACAGAACACTGGACACCAGGAAGGGCATAGTCAGAGATCGTATGTTGGTTGATATGACAGAACTAGATAATAAATTATAATATCTCACAGGACACTGGACTCCAGGAAGGGCATAGTCAGAGATCGTATGTTGGTTAATATGACAGAACTAAATATAATATCTCACAGGACACTTGACGCCAGGAATGGCATAGTCAGTGATCGTATGTTGGTTAATATGACAGAACTAGATAATAAATTATAATATCTCACAGAACACTGGACACCAGGAAGGGCATAGTCAGAGATCGTATGTTGGTTGATATGACAGAACTAGATAATAAATTATAATATCTCACAGGACACTGGACACCAGGAAAGGCATAGTCAGTGATCGTGTGTTGGTTGATATAACAGAACAATACTAAGCAACAAAAGAAACGTCAGTTTGGAATTTTCCTGCGCAGAAACGGATAACTGTACACTCATTTAATGCTTTGATTGTATACATATATATCTCCAACTTTACCTGAGCAAAGACATTCCTTCCCAAACTCAGAATGGAACCCAGGAAATTGTCTCAATAACGCAACCTGATCTCGGAGATGGTACGGTGTTTTCCATGTTTGTCATGCAACTCATGCTGCATGTGCTGTTCACAAGGACAAGCCCTATAAAATGCACCCCCAAACCTGGTTGAAACGTTCACATTACAACATCAGCAGGATGCCACGACTCACGACAGCTCAGAGGAACCAGGCGCTAAGAAGACTTGAAGCTGGCCACACTGCACAAGCCGTTGCCAATCACTTCCAGGTCAACGTTCGGACCATCTACATACTGCAGCAACGTTTCTGGACCAACAACACTACAAGTGATCGCCCCCGTACTGGCAGACCAAGGGTGACCACATGACGACAAGACCGCCATGTTGTTCAGAATCTTGTTCCGCCTCTTGAGCTCAGAATTAAACCATTCATTTCTGCTGCGGGCATTGAGCTGGACAATATTTCTCCTTCTCCTCTTCTTTCTTCTTCTCCTTGGCAATTGGTTAGGCTACAACTTCACCTTACATTAACAGCATTTAAACAAGCAGAAACTAGTGAATTACAATATAAACAAGAATATAATCGATTAAAAAGTAAATATAATACATATAAATCCTTAGTTACAGATGGGTCCAAGGATGGTGGCGCGGTGGCTTGTGCCACTGTCATTGGATCCAGAACAATCTCTTCTCGACTAACAGATGACAACTTTATTTTCACAGCAGAAGCTAATGCCATATTAACAGCTCTTAAATATATTAATAAACACAGTAAATATAAACAATATATAATATTTTTAGATTCTCTTTCGTGTCTACAGGCTATTAAAAATCTTTCTTGTAAACATCCACTTTTATTAGAAATTATCTGCAGAAGAAGTGGGACACCCAAGTAGGTATTAATAAACTACATTAAATTAAACCATATATTGGTTATACTCACTTGGGTTGTCAGTCCAGATTTGAGGAGGTCATTATGCGACGATGTCGCATTGGCCATACAAGGTATACTCACAAATACTTGTTGAAAGGTGAAGATCCTCCGTTTTGTACCCCTTGTGATGAGAGAGTCACAGTCAAGCATCTCCTGCTTGACTGTGTCGAATTCTCCATCATAAGGGATAAATATTTCAATGTTAAAACTGTTAAGGATCTTTTTTAACACTGTCCATGTTCATTTAATTCTTGTTTTTTTAAAAGAAATAGATTTGATTTATGATTTTTGATTAATATGTTTTGTAAATAGATGTATTTTAATGATTGGTAGTTTAAATTGTTAACTTAGATTGTTAGTGGCTGTGCTCTCAAAGGGGGTTATAGTACCGTAAAATTATTGTCCTCCTGAGAGGGTACGTAAGTCCCCAAACTTTCAAAGTAAAATATAAATTATCACATTTTAAACGTAGTATTTTTGTTATTTTAACTGTTGGCTAAATTTTCCTACAATCGCCAGCGGTTGAAGGGATGGTGTAAATCCAGCTAGGATCTATGCAGGTAGCAAAAGTAATGTAAGTCCCCATGGCTCCTAGTATAGTGATCTACCTTCAGTTGTTGTCGATCTATAGTCCATTCTTATATTGTGTTGTCCCTTACAGTTAAAATGTTTTAGATTCAATTACTAATTTTACATATATATCCATATACTCTAGTTGCTTTACTGTCCTTTGTCGGCAGGTTTTATAATCTCTCTATATATTCTATTTCAATGTCAAGTGTTCTCGTCACGATATGGTTGCAATATTGCCGATGTGACGTTAAATAATAACTCATTCACTCACTCAAAGGGGGTTTAAGCATTGTAAAATTATTGTCCTCCTGAGAGGGTACGTAAGTCCCAAAATATTTCAAGTAAATTTAAGTCTATCAGGTTTTTAATTGTAGTATTTTTTCATTTTAATGTATGGCTAAATCTCAGTATAAACGCCCATGGCTGAAGGGATGTTATAAATCAAGCTAGGGTCCATGCAGGTAGCAAAGGTACTGTAAGTCCCCATGGTCCCATGGTGATTGACCTTCAGTTGTTGGCGATCTATAGCCTGTTTTTATCTTGAATTGTCCTAATAGTGGTATATGTTTTAACCTTCCACACTAGTTATAAATCTAATTGTGATATTCTAGTTGTTTTACTGTCCTTCAATGACAGGTTATATAATATACACATATTCCATTTCAATGTATATGATGATAACAGATTTCACATACGTTACTGACGTGTGGATCCATGGAAAGTGTAGTCTATCAGGACACCCAGGTGTTTGACTGTTGGGCTTACAGAAATCTGAGATCCGCCTACCTTCAGTGAATTCACACTCAGTTTAGCTCTGTTGACTGGTGAACAAGACATAAGAATGTCTGTTTTTTTATCGTTTGGTTTGAGTTTACTTTGTGTCATTCATGTATTCACATTCCCTACACATACTTCAACTTCTGCAACTTGTGATTTTGCATCATTAACGTTGAGTTTTGTTAAGAGTTGAGTATCATCAGCATAACAATGATGTAAGATTTTATGCCGAGTAATAAGGTCCCAAAGACTGCTGGTGTAGAGAGTGAATATCATCGGTCCCAATACCGAACCTTGCTGAAAACCACATGAAAGGTTGCGTGTATGAGATCTAATATTTTGGATGAGCACAAACTGAGACCGGTCTCATAGGTATGATGAAAAACCATCGTAGAACAGAGTCGCCTAATCCAAAATAGTTTTGTAGACAATTAAGAAGCTGTTTATGATCTATGGTATCGAACGCTGCCGATAAATCAAGAAGGACAAGTACACAAGCCTGGCCAGGGTCCACCGCTCCAAGCAGAGCAATATCCTTTAGTGACATACCAGGATTCCGCTTACAATAATTTGCCATCTTTGCGGCCCCATATTTGCTAATCAACAACGAACTGATTTTCCAAGTTACCGAACTGTATGAATACTTTACTAAAACGTGATATTTGCTTAATGAAGGGTACATGTACATGCTCACATGTTTTTGAAGTTTTGGTTACAGTGTCAACCTGCGTAGGGCAAGATAGCTGACGTTCCCTGCGCATACTCTCAGTCGCACGTGAGGTTCATGCACGTGATGTCTTTCACCTATGAAGGAGAGTTACCGTTACCTCCCCTAGTTCACCACATGGGGGTTAAAATATTAGGTTTTGCCATACTTATTTTCAAAGTATAGCATGGACAGATTAAGGAAGTACCGCATTCGACGTGGTTAGCGCCTTGGGCGCTAAAAAATGAAAAAAAGGGGGCGCTTATTTAAATCATTTGTCATTCACTTGAACACGTAAAAATGCACACTACAAAGAGTAAACGTAATGCTCATTCAAAAGGTTTTAATGACATCAAACTGTGGTCAATAACAGAGTGTCAGTCTGTACAGTACTCATGAAATACAAACTGATCAAACTCTGACTCTTGAAAGAATTTGTAATTGTAAGGAAAATACCTGCACAAACTATCATCATGATCACAACAAACTATGGAAATCACTATTTTGACGACGCCATATTTCCGAGTCATAACTCACTGGCCAATGAAATTGAAGAACGTCACTGACCTAAATAAAACGACGGATCAGTGGTAATCAAACCTTCAAATAGCTGATAAGCACATGGTACATTATTGCTTTTACGACTTGCAAACGATCTTGAAACAAGCGAAATTCATATTCTTATATATTGAGTTTTCAGATGCTTAAAAGATTGGGGCTTCTCTTGAAAAATTACACGAACATCATGTTTGTTCAGTGGGCAGTTGCCCTTGATCTGGTTATTGGGTTTTCACTCGTTTGATGAATTTGAGTATTATCATTGGACTTCCAGCTATTTACACTAAGGATTTATATTATGGATAACAACAATGACATACTAAATGACCAGTATGTGCTTTTATAACCCGCATCAATAATAACATAGTTAAATTGAAACTATCTTTAAAGGTGAAATCACTCCAGTGGAAATTCAAATGAGGACAGCTGGAGTTCCTGAGGCAACAAAATGTGAGTATAATGTATTGAGGCCACTTTCCTTGCAAGATATTTGTTCCAAATTCCAAAATGAGACACACTGTGTAGATACGGTTTTGTTTTAAAATTAAAAGTCAAATTTCAAAACATAGCTAGAAATCAATGTAGTTACGCTTATAATAACGCCATATGATTCAGTTGTTTATGTGATAATCTGTGTCAAGTAACGTAGAGAACATACATTCTAACATGTGTTTTTCTTGCTTTGGCAGTGAAATTTTTCATGCGCAAAGGGACTGTGATAAGTGTCCACATGAACGATGCTTTGCCACTGACGCATTCGTCGTTGTGGAACTGTACTCCAACCTGCTTTGTGGACCTGACTACTGAACTCTGCAAAGCACTTTGCCAATTTGATAACAAATCTAAGCATGATTACAATGCTTGTCTGTCCAAAATGGAAAATGGAAATATACAATTTGTCTTTGGACATGACAAGAAGGATGAGGCCGTGAAAATGGCAAGTGACTATGAAGTTGTGAAAGACATGATGGAAGAACTTTTTAAACAAATTGATGTGGAAATGACCGATATCAGAATAAAAATAGAAGTTCTGTCTCCGACGAATAGTCCAAAAACGAGGATGCGTCACCCACCACAAAGTAAGATGAGTTACTATTTCTTTATCAACAGTTGCTTCTGTCTGCTAACATTGTAGTGGTAAAGCAGCTTTTTACGAAAAATCTCATGAACTAATAACCACAAACGTTCTCATTTTTATCTATAATAGTTCTCATTTTTATATATAACAGTAACACAATCTTAACCCTCTTCTAATTTCATGAATAGAAACTGCAGGAAGATCACACGACAGAGAACAGAAGCCTGACAACAGTGCTGAACAAGAAAACGCCGCAATAGGCGATGGTAAAGCGAGTTATTGCCGTTTTGGTCTGTACACAATCTCTACAGTGAACTTCCTATTCCTCCTTTATTTTCTGGATGCCAGATCCATGTCGATACAATTTCAGTTAATTTTGTTATGATATATTTCAAGGTATTGTTAAAAATCCACCTTTGTCACATGTACAATTAACCTTTGAGATAAAGCGAACGATACACGTGAGTCTAAACTTCTGAAGAGAAGTATAGTTCAGGGCAAATGATAATTTATGACGCGACACATGAGGGAAGAGCAAACTATATTTTGAGATATATCCTTTGAGATTCGTTGGTCAACAATTGTGCATAGTTAGTTGGGAATAATTACAATCTTAACCCTCTTCTAATTTCATGAAAAGAAACTGCAGGAAGATCACATGACAGAGAACAGAAGCCTGACAACAGTGCTGAACAGGGCGATGGTAAAGCGAGTTATTGTCGTTTGGGTCTGTATACAATCTCTACAGTGAACTTCCTCTTTTGCTACTCAACAACATGAATTATCATTGCAAAACCACGGTTGTTTGTATAATAGCTTTCGTTTTCCTTCCTTGGTCACAATAACATGTGTGAGAGCGACCTGGTGCCAGACAGCATTTGATCGATCTGTCAACATTCAGTTTGTTTATATAATAATCACGTGACAGTTTTTATTCACGATTTTTGCTTTTATGCATTTGTTCATTCAACATCATACGTTATACATTGAAAAACTAACCTAAACTAGTCTTTGGCAGAGTATTGCGTATTCCAACGGCAAGAGAGGTAAAACACCTGTAATTGAACAAAAAGAGAACCAAAACATGTGAGACTCAAAGCAATGTGTTTGTATTTGTTCTGTATGAAACATGTATACTATATTTCTGGTATTATTAACATTTAATATAGCCTACACTACAGCAATGTATTTCATTTCGTTCTGTAGTTACTACCAAAGGAGTTGATGGCACAGGTACAGTAAACAGCTCAGTTGTTGGTGGGACCCAGAAAATTGGATGTTTCATTCAAGCCAAGGGTATGTGGATTTGTTTGAAAATACATGTGAAACAGACACTTCCATATATTAATGTTTAGTCTATGAAATGAAAAATGACTATATATATGGATGTAATTGTCCTGAGGATGTGTGTGTGTGTATATATACTCTCCCAAAAAAGAAACGCATATAGGAATTTCAACTGTATTTTTATGTTTATTTTGAAACATCTTGTAGGCTTTATGAGTCAATGAAATATAGCGAAATTGCACACTGGGAATGCAGACGTATCCGTCTTTTGCACCAACTCAAAGAAAGTCTGTTTGAGTGTCACATGGAGACGTATGGTGGCGCTGAAGTCAATACCTCGTGTGACCACCGTGGGCATCCAGAACTGCACGGCATGGCCTCGGCATCGAACGAATAAGTCTCAGAGTCCTATGATGCCCAGTTGCAGTCTACTCTGCCTGTAGTGCCTGTGCGAGTTGCTGAAGTGTCTGGGGCTGAGGGTTACGGCGTCGCACTCGTCTGTCCAGGGCATCCCACAGATGTTCGATCGGGTTTAAGTGATTTTGAGGGCCATGGGAGCACATTGATGCTGTGGTTCTGGAGAAAGTCTCTAGTGTGACGTGCTGTGTGGGGGCCTGTCATTGTCCTGCTGAAACAACTCCCTCTGGTGATCAATGATTGGAAGGAGGTTCGGGCGTAGGATTTCGTCACAGTACCGTTGAGCTGTCAGGTTGCCCTGGATCATCACAAAATCACTTCTCCTACGGCAGGTGATCTCTCCCCACATCATAACACTTCCCCGGCCGAATCTGTCCACCTGGGGAACGCAAGCGTCTGCGAAACGTTCACGTCCACGTCTGTCACCCGCATTCTTCCATCGCGTCATTCCAATAGAAATCATGATTCATCACTGAACCACTGACTGACTGACTGACTGACTGACTGAGTTTGGTTTTACGCCGCTTTTAGAAATATTCCAGCAACATCACGGCGGGGGGACACCAGAAATGGGCTTCACACATTGTACCTATGTGGGGATTCAAACCCGGGTCTTCGGCGTGACGAGCCAACGCTTTAACCATTAGGCTACCCCACCGCCCCCATCACTGAACCAGATTCTACGCCAATTCGGTAGGTTCCAGGCCTGAACGTTGGTGCACCATTCAACGCAATGTCAACGATGTTGTTGTCGAATCATAGGGCCAAAATAAGGTCTTCTGGAACGTAAACCAGCCTCTCTCAACCTGTTCCTGACGGTCTGTGCAGAAAGCCTCCTCAATACGGGTATTTGTCGAGCGGTACTGGTCGCCGTAGCTGTTCGATGACGCAGGTGATTTCCCTGGATGTAGCGATCCTGCGCTGCAGTGGTCGCTCGAGGTCGCCCACTACGAGGGGCATCTGCTACCGCATTCTGCCGGCGATGTCTCTCCCATGGCCGTGAAATGGTGCTTTGGTGAACATTCACGCGTCGGGCAACTGCACGTTGAGACTGGCCAGCTTCAAGCAAACCAATGGCGATATGACTGTGGGCTTCACTTAGACGTGGCATTTTGCATTCGTCAACAATATTCCAAATACAGTAAATAATCGACAGACAGCGATCAACCTTTTATACCCATCATTGAGACTATCTGATCCCCAACTTTCACGTGCATTGCATGTGAATTGTGTATTCTGTGACACTACACGCCGAAATTGAAAATCATGCTGTTAAATACTGGTATTTTACGGATGGTGCGTTTTGTTGTGATGTTTCAAAACATAAACACCATAGGACTCATAAACAGAGCAAAACCTTTTGTAAAATGAATCACGTTTTAATTCATTGCTACATGAAATTGCTGTTTTCACGATGCGTTTCTTTTTTGGGAGAGTATATATAGCTCTATATCTGTACAAAATCTTTCCCCATTCAACGGCTCTTCAGGTGTATAATGAAAGCTAAGTGTCGTCATAGATGACGCGTAATGGTATCTATGTCGCCATCATGTGTATGACGTAACAGTTAGTGACAATAGAGGGTGTTGTAAACATTAGTCCAGTTTGACAGTAAGGTTACGTTTGTGACGTCATCATGTTTTGATGTCACAGTTAGAAACAATAGTGTTGGACGTGTATGCATTATGGTTTCAGTACGCAAATACATACTGAGGAACACTGAGAAAGTTACAAAATTATACTTAAGCTTAGGTTTAAACAGCCTTATGAACATTTGTTCTTTTTCCACACGTAAATGTTTATCATGGATAAACAAGTGATAAAACGGAAAGATGGTAAGAGGGTCACTAGTAAGAGGGCTCCGTAGTTAGTGTGGGTTTTCTTGCAAGATAATGCACGCCCACGCATGTTAGCTCATGCAAGTGGTCCTCTGGCGCATTAAGGTATATACAGCCGAATAGTCAGGACTAATATCAGTCCCTCGATGAAAATTGTACCTAAAATATCTTCACGAAATAACGGACTGAAGGGAAATGGACTAGCACCAAAATCCTCAAAACAACTAGTACAATCAACTATCACACCTGGAGTATTTCCTTTTGGGACGAGTACACCTGCACCCAAAGCAAATGACCAGCCTAGATGACCGCTCAGCTCACCTGAACAAGAGGGATCACCCAGGAGTAAAGCAACACCAACGACAACTACCACCAAGACTGCGGCGAATGGATCTGAGGCATTGTTTCCGTCGACAGTGTTTGATTCCCTAAACCAGGCGTCGATGGATGTTCTTACTTCGAAGCTGACAAACGTGTTGATGATGCCAGATCTCCAAGATAAATTCAAGGAATCCTTTATGGATGTGGTCAGAGCTGTAATGTATGGCATGTTGAACGATATTGTTGGTCCATTGAAAAATGAAATTGACGAACTCCGCCACGACCTGCAAATGAAGACAGATGAATTCAAACAATATAGTTGTCGGAACTCTGTCAGGATAAGTGGTGTTCCAAAAACAAGTGATGAAAATACTGAAAGACGGTCACCCCAACATCAACATCTCCTACATTGACAGGTGTCATCGAACGGGGAAGAGATCACCAGGTAAAAACAGACAGATAATTTTACACTTTGTCAGTTACTGGGATCGGAACAAGGCCATCAGCAACAGGAGAAACCTACGACACAAACGAAGGTCCGGGTATATTAAAGAAGACATAACCCAGCACAGAAGCAAACTTTTAAAACAGCAAGAGATCTGAAAACTAAACGCAAAATCGATTCAACCTGGACATACGACGGGAGAATACACTGACGTGAACTTAGGGACGGTTACAAGGACGGTACAGTCCAAGTGATCACATGTGAAACCGACCTGGATAAGTATAAACGTTTGTAATATTCAGTTTCCCAGATAAGCTGTTTATACTGATACAATCACGAGTATATCTCAATTCATAACAAAGTCTGTAAATATTGTTCACACAACGGGAGATGTTTTAATTCAAACGATGTTGTCGTTATCTGTTTATATTCCTCTTGTATATATACTCACTTTTTTGTCTTCTTGCTCCTTGTTATTGGTTTATCCATAGTACCTCCAATGTTATATCCTGTCTACATGCAATGTTTTTTTCCATGGTTCATTTGTAACGAATTTGGAAAGTTGTTCAGCTTGTTCAAAATGTGCTGTGTGTATACATTTCTTTGCTTTCTACAATGTCAGTAACATAATGCCAGCATAGCTATGGTCCTCCTGTTGTTGCTACTGCTTGCAGGGGACGTGGAGACTAATCAAGGCCCACTGAACCATGACTCTGAACATGCACTTGCTATATTTCACTTAAATACACGAAGTGTGCGCATCAAGTTAAATTGTTTGAGTGAAGTTCTCTCTGACTATTGCATTTTCTGTTTTACCGAAACACACCTGGATGAGATTGTTAACAGCACTGATCTTTTATGGGAAATTTTCACGAACCGGTCAGAAAAGGTAGAAATGCTTTTGGTGGAGGGGTCATTGATATATGTAAGTAAACAATTTGCCTTAAAGAGGTTGGTAGATTTAGAAAATATTCATGACGAAATGATTTGGATCAAGCTATTTCTTCCACAAAAACCTTTAACATTATGAGTTGTATACTGACCGAGTATAGCTATACATTGTGGCAACGTTTACGTCAAAGTGTAGAAACAGCCTTAGACGCATCCAGTAAGATAACGATTGTTGGAGATATAAACGAAATTTGCTATCAAGTAAACAATTAAACAGTGTGGACGAAATGGAAAAAATCTATTAAAAATCACATATACTCTACGGCGGGTACAAATACATAAATCACTAATTGGCATCTCTATAAATGAAACACCGTCATTAAAACTTCTCATTTCGATCTTTAATTAACTTAAATCGACCTTTTTGACAACAGTGCACAATTCTCAGCCGCGAACAAAATTTCAACCAATCAAAGCGGCGCGTCTATGTGACGTCATATGAGGAACAGATATGAGGGCCGATACAGAATCCATGTACATTTAAGGGGGTAAGTTATCTTGTTTACAGGTTTGTATAAACCTGAAATCGTGACAACTGTTGTGAAAAATGAAAGCTATATGTTCTCAGAATCTACTTTCATTTAAGTTTGTCTCATGCTTTGCCAAGTTTCCCAGTTACAACTTGTTTTCATAGACGATTCTGTCAAAATCACTTAGTGTCGCTAGGCCTTATTTGTATAATGACTGATACAAATTGATCCCATTTCTGTGTTGTTTTACCTCGATATTTAATCATGTCACGTAAAAATATGACGTCTATTACGTATGACATTAAAAATTGACATTTGATTTATTTGAATCCGTAAACTAAACAACCCTACTTTGTCATT